ACTTAAAAAGGAAATTCTCTTTTATGAAAATATACATACGCTTTGTTTGTTTGGTCTATTTTTGTTGAATTATTCATAACCTATTTTATTTAGGAAATTAACAGATCACAACAAGCATTGTTTGGACAACACAATTACTAATTTGGGGTTTAACTTTACTTCGAAAATTCCATTTTATTTTGTTCAATTCCATTGTAAAAGTTCTCACTATGATTTTTTTTGCTTACTATATTTTGTCAACTTGTAATTTATTTATTTATTGGTTGATGATGTAAGTTTACGGAAATTGCTTAAGCTCAAAGTCTGCTGCTTTTGTCTTAAAATCTTTGAATAGTTGCTGACTCAAGTCTGAAAATCCAAAACTGAAACTCCCCGGAAAAGATCTGTCCAATACAAAACTCGGTTTCTTCTCTTCCTCATCGGTTCTGTTTCTCGTCTTCTGTAATCAAAAACCATGCCAGATTAACCCAAAAGATTTCTCTTTGATGCAAATCGTGTTTCATTCAGACGGGTCTTTCTTAGATTCGAAAGGTGTGTCCTTTTTCTGTTTCATTTATGCCGTTGGCTTGAATCTCAGTTTCATTTTCTGAAAATTTTCCCGGAAAAAGTCGGTTTCTTTTCTGATTACGAATATCGAGGAACATAGATCTTGATTCCATTTCTTCTTCTGGGTATGTGTGTTTGGAGTTGTTTAATCTCATTGGTGTTTACGCGTTGTGGAAATCTATGAATACGAAGTCGGTTATTGATTGGTTCATTGGATCTCAACTTGTAAAGCCTGGAAGCTGAGTCTCTGGATTCGATTAGGGTTTAAAGATTTGTGTGGAAAGATGTTAAGATCTTTAGGTCTTGGATTGCTTCTCTTTGCTCTTCTTGCTCTGGTTTCTGGAGATAACGATTACGTTAGCTGTAACTGTGACGACGAAGGGTTCTTAAGTGTTCACACAATCTTAGAATGTCAAAGAGTGAGTGATCTTTTAATCGCCATTGCGTATTTCTCGATACCTCTCGAGCTTCTCTATTTCATTAGCTTCTCAAACGTTCCTTTCAAATGGGTTCTTGTTCAATTCATAGCCTTTATCGTCCTCTGTGGTATGACTCATTTGTTGAACGCTTGGACGTATTACGGACCACACTCTTTCCAGCTTATGTTATGGCTTACGATCTTTAAATTCCTCACCGCGCTTGTCTCGTGCGCCACGGCGATCACGCTCTTGACTTTGATTCCGTTGTTGTTGAAATGGAAAGTTAGAGAGCTTTATTTGAAGCAGAATGTGTTGGAGCTTAACGAAGAGGTTGGGTTGATGAAGAGACAGAAGGAAATGAGTGTTCAGGTGAGGATGCTTACTCGGGAAATCAGGAAATCGCTCGATAAGCATATGATTCTACGGACTACTCTTGTTGAGTTATCCAAGATTCTTGATTTACAGAACTCTGCGGTTTGGATGCCTAACGAGAACAGAACCGAGATGCATTTGACTCATGAGTTAAGAGCGAATCCGATGAGGAGTTTTAGGGTGATCCCGATTAATGATCCTGATGTTGTTCAGGTTAGGGAGGCTAAAGTAGTGGCGATTTTGAGGAAAACTTCTGTTCTTGCGATTGAGAGCAGTGGTTGTCACGGTTCAGAAGAGTTTGGTCCAGTTGCTGCAATTCGTATGCCGATGCTTCACGGATCAAATTTCAAAGGAGGAACTCCTGAGTTTGTGGATACTTCCTATGCTATAATGGTTTTGGTACTTCCGAATGTGAATTCACGGGTTTGGACCGATAAAGAGATTGAGATAGCAGAGGTTGTTGCTGATCAAGTAGCGGTTGCTCTCTCGCACGCCTCGGTTCTAGAGGAATCACAGTTAATGAGAGAAAAGCTTGGTATTCAAAACCGAGCTTTACTTCGAGCCAAACAGAACGCGATGATGGCAAGTCAAGCGAGGAACACTTGCCAGAAAGTTATGAGTCATGGAATGAGGAGACCAATGCACACAATTCTCGGTCTTCTATCTATGTTTCAGTCCGAAAGTATGAGCCTTGACCAGAAAATCATCGTCGATGCACTCATGAAAACGAGTACAGTCCTCTCTGCTCTAATCAACGATGTGATCGACATTTCGCCTAAAGATAACGGGAAATCTCCATTAGAGGTTAAACGGTTTCAGCTGCATTCGTTGATAAGAGAAGCTGCTTGTGTAGCAAAATGCTTGAGCGTTTACAAAGGTTACGGTTTTGAGATGGATGTTCAAACTCGTTTGCCAAATTTAGTAGTGGGAGATGAAAAGAGAACGTTTCAGCTTGTGATGTATATGCTTGGGTATATCTTGGATATGACTGATGGAGGCAAAACCGTTACGTTTCGAGTTATCTCGGAAGGTACTGGAAGTAGTCAGGACGTGAATAAAAGAGAGACCGGAATGTGGAAATCGCATATGTCGGATGATTCGCTCGGTGTGAAATTTGAAGTTGAGATTAATGAGATACAGAATCCTCCAGTGGATGGTTCGGCTATGGCAATGAGGCATATTCCAAACAGAAGGTACCATAGCAATGGTATTAAGGAAGGCTTGAGCTTAGGCATGTGTAGAAAACTTGCACAGGTACGTGATCTCATCAAGTCTCTGTATCTATTTCGTAGTGTCCAATCCGGTTTTCGGTTTCAATTATTTCGTTTATGATATAGAGAAACCGAGTGGTAATCGGATATCTTTTGGTTCGAAAATGTGTCTACAGATGATGCAAGGAAACATATGGATATCTCCGAAATCGCATGGACAAACACAGAGTATGCAATTAGTATTGAGGTTTCAGACAAGACCGTCGATTAGGAGATCAATCTTAGCAGGAAGTTCTCCAGAGCTCCAACATCCAAACTCAAATTCGATCCTCCGTGGTCTAAGAATCACATTAGCAGACGATGACGATGTGAACAGAACCGTAACCAAGAGGCTTCTTGAGAAACTTGGATGTGAAGTGACAGCTGTTTCATCTGGATTCGAGTGTTTGAGTGCGTTATCGAATGTGGAAATGTCGTATAGAGTTGTGATATTGGATCTGCAGATGCCGGAGATGGATGGATTCGAAGTAGCGATGAAGATAAGGAAGTTTTGTGGACATCATTGGCCGTTGATTATAGCTTTGACCGCAAGTACTGAAGATCATGTTAGGGAGAGGTGTTTGCAAATGGGGATGAATGGTATGATTCAGAAACCGGTTCTTTTGCATGTTATGGCTTCTGAGCTTAGACGAGCTTTGCAGAGCGCAAGCGAGTGAAGTGAAGCGAGCTTAGAGAAGAATCAAGAATCTGAGGGAATCAAGAAATGAAGAAAACTGGATTTAGGATTCTTTGAAGATGTGAAGCATAGAGAATTCTTGGGAAAGTGTTTTTTGGTTCTAGGTGATGAGAATTGAATCCTTTGTTTTGTTAGGTTTTTTTTAGCCTTAGTTTGGAGATTGGTTGGTCCGAAACTATTTATACGTAATGCTTTCGCATTTTAAGCCATAAAAATAACATAAATTTATTAGATTTAATAATATTTAAATTTATAGTTTAGTCAAAATGCATCGTTTTTAAGTGTATAACGGACCTCTACTGTTCTAATTTATTTACTTCATTTATATTCAGACCGAATGTTTCAAGCATTCCACACTTTCAAAAGATTTGGACTTTTTTTTTTTAAGAGAAATTCAACGAAAAAAAAAGAAGATTTTAAAATAAATATTTTTTTGTTGTCAACGACGTAATATAAATATTTTAATCTACTCAATTTAATCAAATTAATAGTTCAGTCTCGGTTGACAACAACAACAAAAATAGTTTAGTATCGGTTCAGCTGTTTTTAGTCTTTTAGACCACCACACCGAAGCGTTTGATTGTTATACATTTAACACACAAAAAAATTATTTATACGAATATTAAAGTTAGTGTTATTTAATGCTTTGTGTAGGCCTGAGAAGAAACATCACGTAACGCTATAAAATACTAATGTTCGACTTTTAATATATGGAAACTATTATTATTTGGATTGGATGATATAAACAAATACCCGACGACAAAAAATTCCACATTCTAACGCATTTTTTAAATCAAATCTCGTTTCTTTCAATTATATATATACTTGTTAAATTATTGACGATAAAACATCATTCAACAATTGTAAGAATATTAAATATGAATATAATAGACGATTAAAGAAATAAGTTCTTCTCTATACGGTTATTCTGAAAAATTACCATATATAAGAACAACAAAAAAAATACAGTAGTTGATATTGGTTATCATTTGTCATTTATAAATATTTTCCCCTTTTCTTGTCTACATTGAAAATATTTCCAACTAGAAAACTTGCTCAATATATATAACATTAAGAAAAAAATGCATCATGGCCTATACGTATTACCAGTGGGTATTATTTTAAGTGAGGACCATCTATTATGGATATTTATGTAATTGAAAACTAGAAGGAATTATTATTTTATTTTATTTTAAACAGGAACTAGTTTTTTTTTTTAATGTTTGATGAAGCAGTAACTCGCCGTACTAATCTTTTGATATAGTTTTTTTTTTTGGACCCCCGAATTATGCTTTATCTTGTGGTCTTTGTTATACTTTTGATAATGCTCGTTTATGGATTCCTTTTCAAAGTATTATTTGTTAATTGCCCTAGTTTTAGTCTTTTAGACTTTTTCTAATTAATTATAATTGTCTTTTGAGTGCGGTGGGCTTCTCTTTTTAATAAAATATCGCAAGACATTATGATTTGATTTTTTCCCCTATTTTGTCAAATGTTTTACTTCTTAATTTTACTAACCATTCTATGAAAATCACAACATAAGTCAAATATCATCCGTTGTTTATCTCATTATCTGCTTGATTAGATGGATCTTAATAAATTGCTATTCTAATCATGCATAAAGAAAGAGAACTCCTATGAATAATTTTAGATTTTAAAAGCACTCTGATCATTTTTAGTATTATGCATTTCTGCTCAAGAAAGTACGGATATGAATATATAATTAAGAGGCCCATTAGGGTTTGCGTTTTGCAAGAGGAACGCATGTGGTACCATGTGAATAGGCTCCCTCTATACTCTCATACTTTTGTTTATCATTGTTAATTAAAAAGATGGTCAAGAAAGCCTAGAAATTTGGTTAAATGACGACACTTATAAGCTGACAACAAGGGGGATTAATATATAATACACACTTGTATTAAAAAAAATATTCGTATAATAGCATGAGTCAATTTGCCAAATAATACAAAAAATAATTATAATTAATTAAATAGAGAAAAACCTAAATCTAATGGATGTGGTTGTGCCACATAGGAGAGTTTTGGCTACTTAATTAATTTTTTTTTTTGTTATTTAGCAAATTATCCCTAATAGCATTGGACTTTTTTTTTTTTCCCCTGGTGTATTAGTTGTATTGAACTTGCAGTCTGCCATATAAACATGTATATATAACAATTAATTTTGTAGTCGATTGATTTAGTTGTGTTTGTTGAGGTTGACTATCACTTGATTCACTTCTTTTATATATTTGACCGTTGTAGGTTCACGAAATCTTTAATTATAAACACCACATTGGTTTAGGTATCAATCCAGGCGATTTGATCCGAAAAACACATATGTCCCTTATACTTGCTAAAACATTTTATTATCATTTGAAATAAACTTCTTTTAAATTTGATAAACTATGGTAGCTTATAAGTTATAGATTTTTTGTTTGTTGGATGCATCATCTTTTCACTACTGCATAATTTAATTAATGAAGTTTGTATTACTATTATTTCGAGAATACGTTAATATCAATCTATGCATGAACTTTTTATATATACTTGTATTATCTACAACAACAAAAATTGTTGTAGATAATGTCAGATGATCAATTTCCCTAGAAATGATATTTTATGTAAGTTTACTATCAAATAAATCACTGCACCACAAGATCATAATCGAAATGTTAATAAAATAAACTGTTTGTATTGAACCATGCTCGTGGAACCGGAGTGAATTGATCTTTCTTGGTGATTCTTTTTCTTTTGTATATATCATATACATACGTATACTGGTGTAAATTAAATAGCTTAAAAAATGTTTCATTATACGTGATCATGTTGCTATCAATCGAGTTAGAATCCGATGAATTAATTAATCATTCTCTTGCATAATTTATAGCAAAAATAAAACCAATTTATGATTAACTATAACGAGGCCAGGTGAATGTGAGGCTTGTAATTCCCAATCAGATTTATAATAAATGCATTTAATCAACCATAACAAGGAATTAGACCAAGCACTTAAGATTTTTTATCATTTTCAAATTATATATATATATCCTTTAATTAATGCTCATCAAATATATGAAAAAATGGTCAACCCTAAGTATAGTTCAAATATAATGAGGATCAATCATATATATGCATATGTACACAACTTCATTATATAAAATGAAGAATCCAACAAAGAGAAAAACTTTGAATAAGAGATCATAGAAACACAAGTGCAAATTTAGCAAATAATAATCATAGTCAAGAGAGAACATAATATAATGTACGCACACACTATATAGCTCACTAGTAGCAACTGACTAGTTTTCATCATCATAATAAACATCATTATAGTTCTTATTGTTAACTTCTGTAAATTAAAAAAAAAAGCCATTTTAACGTACGTTAAAATCCTGACCTAGCTTGAGCCCAACCATATGCATCTTGGCCACTCATCTGTCCTCCTCCTCCGCCACCATTAGAAACAAGATTTCCGGGCATATTATACACCGGAAGTCCTTGGTTCCCGTCTCCTCCACCACCACCGCTACTCAGCGGCGAACCTCCACCTCCGAGCTGCCCCGGAACCA